CATTAAATACCACCCACTACCAACACCACCGCCAAAAGTACCAGGTAAAACAAGAGGACAMTTAAAACCACCCACTACCCACACCACCACCCAAAGTACRAGGTAAAACGAGAKGTCATTAAATACCAACCACTACCCACACCACCACCCAAAGTACAAGGTAAAACGAGAGGWCATTAAATACCACCCACTACCCACACCAGGTTTTTATCTGGCTTCTCAAACTTATTTTAATTCATAATAAAAATAGATATATAAATATAAATTTTATTTAGTATTATTCATATATCGTGTATTATGACCACTTAAAAAACTTGCGCATAAARCTTTCAAAACTTGAAGGGCGTGACGTGAGAAGAGAATGTACTGTAAACCTGGATTCCGGCACCATGTAATGTAGTATTACATCTTACTTTGGTTCCGTGCCTACAATTGACCATTGTCTAACTTTTAATTATAGACAATTTACCATCGTGCAAGGCTCTTAAGGCGTCCGCAAGGTAAGAAGTGAACAAATTAAACCCGAAAAATATGACTGTACTGACAAATAGTACTAATGTAAGCCGTAGCTCACTGTTACTTCACCGAGGCTAAGGGAATTTAATTCGAATCAATATTTCCATATAGTAGTCTGGTATTAATTGCTCTTTTTGTCCCAGAGAAACAGAATAATTAAGATAATCAACATAAGTCAATAATAACCCTGTGTTTTAGTGTTCAACATACATAGTTGACCTTATACTTTCTTTTAGTATTCAATATTAATACTGATTAATACTCACGATGGTAGAGTGAAGGCATTTAACCCGTGAAATAAAAATTAYTAGTCAARGTGTAATAGTCAAATAGACACAAAAGAAAACAATGGAGTTAGGGTCTACTAAAGTGTTTTAGTCTAATATCYATTTCACGGGTTTAATGACTTGACTCTAAGAGCTAGGCGAACGTTTTACCACTACATTACCCTCGCAACTCCTAGATTAACGCTCTCGGTATTTCGTTGTTGATGACAGTTGGTTGACAGCGAACAAGGCGTATTATCTGACCGTCGGAGGCCAAAAGTTCCAGGCTTACTGCCATATGGGAAGTCTTTCAGGCTGTGGTAGCGGGCCGTGGACCATGGTGATGAAGATCAATGGACATAGGGTACTAACATGTTCAACATTATGCTCTTGTACTTTCACACTGTCTCTTCCCATCCGGAGGGATAAATGGGAACTAGCACACTCCTGTCTCCCACCCAGGTGGATAAATGGGAACCAGAAGTTTTCTCTCCCCA